ATGAAAGTTACTGTATTTATAGTGAAAACATTTAATATTCCTCGAATATTTATTTATTGTTCGGAAGTTCATACCCAATTCCAAAGGTGTCAAAATAAATACATTTTCAAACACCATATTTGTATTTATATTTAATTTTTTAATTAGAACAAGCAAGATTGATTTGTGCGAATTGCTTAAAAATTATTTAAAGACAATTCATTATACTAAACTAAAATATAGAAACAATCACAAATGAACTAAATATCTCAAGATTACTCCCGCGCCCCTAGTCCTTTTATTATATCGTAAAATAAAGAAGAGATTAAATAAACATAATATAGATATAGAACGAAGTAAAGCGAAGCGAAACGAAACGATGTGAAGTGAGCTGTAGTAGAGCAAAGTGAAGTGAAGTGAGCGTATAGAGAATGGTAATAGGCAGAGAGCTGGGGTTATTTTTTCCATCATATCGTTTTTCATTTCATGAGTGTTTGTGTTCGTTCTATCACATCCAGAGTTTTGTTTGCATCACATTTGTTTTTTCTACTTTCTCAACTTAACCACACTAAAATTTCAAACGTTCTCATTAATATGTTTCAATCAGAAATACATAGACAAGATCAGTATAAATAGAACGACGTTAACATTTTTCGATATCTCTCATATTTCCGACAAAAAGTGAGTTTGAAAAAAGGGGCCACTTTCACATGTCTTCACTGATATCTCGGCCAAATGATGAGCTACGTATTTGAAATTTGATATTTTGAATTTTCTCGAAAATACCTATAAAATGGCATCAAAATTATTTAAATACCAGGGTGGGGCCAACTCTGTATAGAACACGCCCATACTCTTTCGTTAAAAGTTTTTCTTCTACAAAGGTCGCACCAGCTCTCCCTCTATTAGTAACTTAGCCAACGATCCGTGAAATGGCGTGATGTACGCGTGCACACGTCCGACGTGGCGTTTTCATTTACTACGTAGTACGTAGTACATTCTACGCGGGACGATAACGGGACTACAACGGGACGATGTTGCCTGATGAGAAATTTGCTCGGCAAGTAAGAGATGATAATAAAAGATTGGTATACACAAAACGGGATACAAAAATGGTAAAAATTGACCGAAATAAAATATGACTTTGACCAAAATGCCACTTACACCTATTTTAAATTTATTCTTTTAATTCCCACATTGTCCTCTATCAAATCGTATCAAATGCAAATTGAAATCAAATAAAACGAAATGACCGCCGAGGGAGGAAATTTCGGTGAGAGATTCGACACGTTATAGGGGGGTCGAAGGGATACAAGTTAACACGAATAAAACTACCCCTACTAGATTCACAAAGTTTGCTTTAGTCATTTCACGGTTAATACAAATCGAAAGTAAAAATATTGGGGTGCATTTTAGAAAGGAAGCCAAATAGTAAAACGAAACAATTATCTTATTTGGCTATTGTAAGATGAAATTATTACTTTCCGTAGGGAAAGTATAGTAATATAATATAGAAAATGAGGTATAGTAAACATCTAAAAATAAAAAATGGAAACTTTTGCATATTTTCATGTTTTGAAGGTTTCTGAACACTTTGGTGCATCTTAGAAAAAAATGGATGTATGTGCGTGTGTGTGTGCGGATACAACTTTTGTCGACGATTTCGGGAACACGGATCAACCGATTTGAAGATTCGATTCGTATTGATGGGGAGACGCACTGATTAGTTTTTGGCCAAGGCAGGTTCAGCCGTTTCAGGGATACGGGAATAAAAGCGCAAAAAATGAATATTAAACCTTTTAGAGAACGGATCATCCGATTACAATGATTCGAAAAACATTTTACTTGTATTGACAAAATGAATAATCCAACGGTTTAGGAGATTCAATAAAAAGTAAAGAGTGCGATATGACGGTTTTAACTTTTTGCTCCGAAGCGAAAAAACTAATCAGCACATCCTCCCTATCAATAGAAAGGAATCATTCAAATCGGTTTTCATTTAATTTCATTCATTTAAAATTTCAAATTACGGTTTAAAATAGTATTATAAAACTTGAATTCAGATCATGAATGTGTCTGTGCATTGGTGTATAAATTACCTCCTAACTTTTCTGAAATATGTGGGACTACGAACCGGCTCGTCTACGCGTAGTCAGTCGGTTAACGATCCGTTAAGCGTGCAGCGTAGCGTTTAATTGCGAAATGAAGATTAACGAGCGCCTCTAGCGGCCGGGGACTCGTTCTGTCTTCATCATCATGTACACACCCACACAGGTGTGAGAAGAAGCAATTTGGAACAATAATAATTTTATACCCAAAGATAAAAAATAGGTAGTTCACTTGAAGGATATTTGTAAATAATTTACTCCAACGTTGCTAGAGGCGCTTGTAGTCGCAGTTTTTTGTAATCTGAATTTACAGTTTTCACAATTGTCTAATCCAATAGCTTTATTTCTCATAATTTAATTTCAAATCCATTATCCCTTTCAGGTGTGGTTCAAGAACCGTCGAGCGAAATGGCGTAAGCGCGAACGCAACGCCATGAACGCTGCAGCGGCCGCCGCCGCGGACTTCAAATCGGGCTTTGGTGTTGCCAACGCACAATTCAACGGTCTGATGACAGCTGCTCAATTTGCAGACACCGAAGCACTGTATTCACCTTATGCCAGCTACGCTGGCGTCAACAATTGGGCAGCAAAAGTCCCACCGAGCCCTTGGGGGCGAAAAGTTTTCCATGGAATCATCATTTAGGTAGATAATAGACTCTTTTTTCTGACCAGAATTGTAATTTGTTGTTTAAAATGCAATGTTTTTGTCTTCAGGTAGTGTAGTTCCTACGAATCACCATCATCATCACCAATCGGCGGTGAATTGTTTTAATCCTGTCTCGTCGTCTATAAGTCCAGCAGGTGCTGGTGGTGTTATGGGAGTCACTGGTGGTGTTACTGGTGGTGTTGGTAATTCAGCACCGTGTCCCTATACGACGCCTACTAACCCATACGTGTACAGGTAATTTTTTAAAATTTATTTTGTTCATTTTTTAATTTTTTAAGTAACAATTTTAGTTTCTATAACGTAACAATTTTATTTTCTTCTCATCTCTAGGCAGTTCAACTGACGGTTGAAATAAGCATTTGAATGAATGAGAACATTTTGAGCTGAACTGTCTATCGGTGAGTAATTATTTGTTTTATCGTTTTCTTCATCCATTACATAACCATATTTTTTTCTTTTAAGATCCGAGCCTTCGTGCGTAGCAATGTCTTCCAGCATAGCAAGTCTCCGCCTCAAAGCCAAACAGCACAGCTCATCATTTGTAACATCAACAGGAAATTCATCATACAGCCCTGTTGCCAGCCCCATACAATCACGATCCAGTCCTGGAAGCTCTAGTTTGGGGTCAGCTTTAGGGGCTACTTTAGGATCTGCACTCACTTCCACTTTAGGGACCACTGGATTAGGCAGCAGTCTGAGTGCTTGTCAATACGCTGATAGGGTTGTCTGAGGACACGCCAATAACTTGGATTTTTTTTACCCTACACAAGGATTTGGGATGCAAGCAGATGAATCGGAAATCAGATTGTCTTCCAATTTTGGTGTTGGGATTCCATCCAACGATCTGCACATGAATTTAGGACTTAGATTGCGCAGTGATTTGGGGATGCAAAGTCCCCATACAGAAATTACTAGTCTTGGACAAGACTTGAATGCAACAAAAGTCGGAAGTTTTACTTTAGCAGACGAATTGGGATTATCTGCAATTACCATGCAAACGAATCCTCCTGAAAGTGATTCCAGGGTTGTTCAAAGTGATAGGGATGATTCGAGTGATGATTTGGGAGATTATGAAGAAGAACAATTGTTGAGTGATCAAGATGAGCAGTGAATTTAATCAAAAGTGATCCAAATTATAGTGAAGTTTCAAAAACTCTGTTTTTGGTGGATAATTCAAGATTTAAATTGATCCAGAATTATTGTGTGGCATTTTAATTTCATCCAGATGGAAACTTGAAATTTTTCTAGGGTTTTATATGTGTTGACCAATTAATGAGATCATTGAATGTTCCATGATAATCCAATTCAGATTTCGGCAATATTGGACTAGAAATATCAAATTTGACCAGATAATCCACACAATGAATTTATTGATGAGATTCAAATTGTAGTGAAGTTTTAAAAATTGTTGGTTATTTATGGATGAGCTGTGTAATCAGATTAAAATCTAAATTGTGTCTGAATTTGCAGAAGATCTTGAGGAATTTTAGATCCTGGCATAAATAGAAATCTTTCTTTGAGTAATTTCTACATTGATCAATGCATCAGAAGGATGTTCGAAGTTCTAAGTTAATCAAATTTGTTTCCAATGATTACAATTAATAATGATGCAAAAAACTGTGGCATTATCGTACATAATATTGTGGTAAAAATAGAAATATTTGCGATTGATGGATAAGATCATTAGATACTGGTAATTCCATGTTGGCAAAATTTAGCTGACTGTGTCTGAACTAAATTGTGTCTGAATTTGCAGAAGATCTTGAAGAATTTTACATCCTGGCAAAAACAGAAATCTTTCTTTGAGTAATTTCTATATTGATCAATGCATCAGAAAGATGTTCGACGTTCTAAGTTTATTAAATTTGCTTCCAATAACTACAATTGATGATGATATAAAGAAATCTGTGACAATATCGTACAGAATATTGTAGTAAAAATAGAAATTTTGGCGATTAGTGGATAAGATCATTAGATCCTGGAAATTCCATTTTTGCAAAATCAAGATATGACTGTATTCAATATCTGCAATTCTTGCCAGTCAAAATTTTAGATCAAGAAAATCTAAATTCATAACAGGGAAATCCAATAATTCAGCAGTTGGACCAAAAAATCTAAGAGGTTTCCATGGTATCAAAATTTCTATTGAAGAGATCAGTTTGAAAATCAGAAAACTGGTAGTTGGACCATGTCTAAGATGGGCATTTTTCATGATCTTGAGTCTCTGTGTTATAGAACTTATGCTGGTTTTTCGATTTGGTCAACTAATTTTCTCGAATAACAAATGAGGAGATCAATTTGGATTGTTCAAAAACTGATAGGACGACCATATCTAAGATGGATAATTTTTAAAAAATTGATTCACTGTTAACGGAACTTGTCATCTGATTTGATTAGAACTGCAAAAAGTCCATATGACAATCATTGCTAACAATTTACCATCTTATTCCTCGAACTGGTCAACTAATTTTCTCTAACAATCTTATCATGGAAACACAAAAATTTCATCTGGCTTGGCAACCTCGTGAGGATCATAATTTCTGAAATTTTCATCAAAAAGTGATGTGTTTATGATGGTCTATGACCATTTGTGCTTTGAGGACAATTTTTTGGAGACCTCCAATGAAGAAAAAAAGCGTACACGACTTTGGACGGATCGCGAAGTTTGTAAATAAAAGTACGTATGTAAAATATATATTTAGAAAAATAATATTTAGTATGTAATTGAATAAATGTTTCCTATGTTTTTTCATAAAATTAAGACAAAATATTTTTGTCAATTGAAAATTAATTTGTTAAATTTTTCTTATTCAAACTCAATAATTGAATTGAGATAGAATTGATTTATAAGTTGACTTTATTAAAATAATTTCTGCGTGAGTTTGCTATATGAAATAATAATTTTAGGCAAATTATAAAAGTCAAATATATACATAACTTCCAACATCAGCTCTGAAAATCTTTCTGGTCTTTTTATTATAAAACCATTTTACTTTTTTCAATTATAAGCCTTAAATTATTGTTTTATGTAGCAGCACATTTGGTTTATTCAGTATAGTTCAATTGAAAACGAAAATGTGTTCAAATTTCTTATATTGCGATCAATCATTTTTCACTCTAATCTGGCAACAACGCACACGTAAATTTCCTGCGTTGCCAAATTTCTGCTAATATCATGCATTTTTTATTTAAGAGGCCTATTTTGGAATTAGGTTTTTATCTTACAAATAATTTAAATTATTTTTTCCAATTTATGCTAAGGTAAAAGAAGAGGCTTATAAATAATAAATTTCTACACTTTTGTGCAATTTTAGTTTAATTAATTATTTAATTATTTGCATTGGTACAAATTTTTGTTTTAGTTTTGAAGTTATAAATCGGTGTATAGTAGATAGTAAAAATTAATTTAAGTCTTTAGACGAGTTGTGATAAATCGCCAAAAAATTAAGGGAAATGTAAAAAATAGCACAAGGGAAAAAATTAGTTGGATTTTAATTGTTATTTTATAATTAAGAGTAAAAAACATTTTTGTTGTAATAAAATTAGTGTCTAATTAATATTTGTTCACCATCACTAGTGACATCTGGTTTTGTCTTATCATAATTATTCATCCCACTTCTGATTTGCGCAATGGCAGAACAAACTAGTGTTGCCATAGATCACAATTAACAAATGAAAGAACAAGCTAGTGTTGCCATAGAACAATAAAATGCACGTAGGAGTCGGCGATGATGGCACGAACCACAGTCTCGAAACGTTTGTAAAATAATTTTATTTAATACCTTTATTTTTACTCCTATGCTATTTTTTACAATTTTCTTCCAACAACAACCAAAACATGTACATATAGTCTATTTTACCAAATCCATTTTAGTTAGGACTATTTTTTGGGTCTAAAACGACGACCCCAAAGAATAATAATCATGTAAATTACTTCTAATAATACTTAAGAATGGCATTTAATTTAAGATTTATATTAAATTATTCAAATTGTGTAATTATATGATGAAATTGTAACAATAACTTTTCAGACTGTAAAAAAAATTATGAAAACTAGTAAAGTAATAATATAGTTTAAGTAATAATTAATAGTTGAAATGTTACTATGAAATTCACAGATTTATATGGAAATGGAAGAATTGGAGCCGTTGTAAAGGACGGATGTATAAAAAATAGAGTGAGATTTTTGAATTTTGCTATTAATCTTAAATAATTTTCTAAAATTAGTTTTTTGACATTGTTGCAATGTTACTAATATTTATACTTGTAAAGTATTTATATGAGTATTTTTTCAAGGTTTCTATTTAACAATTTCAAAATAATGTTAATTTAGTAATTAATATTAATAATGTAAATTTTCAATTATTTATTTTATTTTTAATTATTCATTTTTTATACATGTCGACCTTTATGAAATTCAAATTTGGCGCCAATATCAAACCAAGTGCAATATCGTAATTTTGATCTCTTCAATCTGGTAACACTGACCGATTAGCATTGCAAATAATAAATTTGACGTAACAGAAATTATAAAATAAATAAAGTTATGATAATTTAAATTTTTACAAAACTAGACATTGTAATTTATCAGAAATTAATCAAAATTTAGATTTTAAACAAGTTTGTGGTGATAAGAAATTATAAAATGTGGTTTGTTTATGTTTTTAAACAATTTTGTAACGTTCAGGTAACCTCAAAATGGAGGTTGAAATGTCAAATAATAATTATTTGATTTAAATATTTCTAATAATTTTATTTATTTATTGTCAAATTTTATGATTACAATGCTAAGTGGTTTTTGTTTTAAAAAAATGTGCCAAATCAAAACCAAAGAATAAAATTGCCAAAATTATAACTATAGCAATATATAAATCTATATATATATATATATATATATATATATATATATATATATATACATATCTATTACAAACAGTATTTTGTGAACGAATTCTGATCGTGTGAATAATTATTAAAAAAATAGGTTTTTCTAATTGTAATTAAAAAAAATTGTACAATAATAAATGAATAGTGTTAAATTATATATATAAAATTATACATAAATTAATATTAAATTAAATAATTATCGATAATATTATCATTGAATTAATGTGCATATCCTTTGTAATAATAAACACGAACAGGATCTTCTAGTCAGAAAATAAAGAAAAATTAAAAAAGATTTATTGAAACTTTAAAACTTGTGCAGTTTTATTTTGTAGAAAAAAATCGTTGTATTTCAGGTTTTGAATTTTCTAAATTTTGTAATAAGTTATTTAAACATTTTTGTTAATATAAATTGTGTGGAAAACATGATGAGCTACAAGCTGATAGGGTAAGTCAATAAGAATAATTTTAATAAATTTTTATAGTATATATATTTTTTTAATTTTTGGAACAGCTATGGAAATCCAGAAGCTTAATTTATCAATATGTAATATACCTTTATTATTAAAACTATTATATTATCGTAATAAAAAACTATAAAATATCGTTTGTACGTATTTTTAAACAGATTTTTAAAATAACGTGTACATAACCTCAAAATGTAGGTTAAATTTGTCAAAGATTAATTTATTTAACTTTCCTGTGCAATTAATTAAAAATAAATACTTCCACATATATTTTGAGGTTTTAGTGATTTAATTATGCATTTAGACATCAATAGAAGTAATAAATCGCACAAATATTTGTTAAGCTAATTGTTATTATTTGGACAGTTAATCAAATTGATAGGTGTTAAAAAAATATAAGGAATTAAGAACACATATACGTATTAAGTGAGAAAAATTATACATACCGCCAGGATAAAAGCACAAAACTTAAAACACTAATTAAAACTTTATAACACAGATAATGTTTTAATTTGAACATACATTTACTAACATTAATAATTTCTAAAGATAAGTTTTACAGTTGAATAATTAATTTGACAGTTGTGTGTTTATGAAATTTGGGGTTGCCATATGTAAATGACATATATGGCGCTCTCGCTCACACATATGATGTTAGAGTGAGAAGGATGATGACATTTAAGCTAAAGTTTGAAACAAGGCGAAATGACATTTGCTAGCTGAATTACTTTGTTCGTT